TTCTACTTGATGAACAATTAATCTGTTGAAATAGTTTCATATCAAACGAACTGTCACAAGTGAGGCAAAAATCAAATTCATGTAGGCTAGTTTTAGTAGTAGGTTAATTTTCGGTTTTAGTGAATATTTATATAAAAATACAAGTTGAAACGCGTTACTTCCTTGTGGAATGTGATGTTAGTATCTATTTTATGTTTGTCTGATGTATTTTTTTTTTGTATGTATTTTTACTCATTTACCGCACATTTCGTCATTTTTAACCAAAATTCTTGAGCTGTTTGCGGTGCAAGTTGACCTTGAGCAATGACGGCCCGCCCGCTCGTGTAGGCCCTTTGGGAGCGCTTTAATTTGCCTCACTTAGCGTGTGCGGACTAGGTTTCTATGCGTTATTAGTCTAAGTTTATCACCTGAATCTTAAGCTTTACAAGTTTGATGCAAATACCTAGGGACGATGTACGCCGTTAAACAGAATGATTTCTCCTTCCTTCAGGACGAATACAAACGGGTGGTCCGCTTTGAATTCACTTGGCCGGGTTATAGCAGCACTTGTGAAAACTGCTACAAATGCTGACGGCTTATAAAATTAATATGACTCCAAAAGCAAGAAAGAATGTAGTACTGATTGCAGTTCCGTGCATTATCTTGATGAAAATTGTATTTGATGAACAAATGTGTTAAAATGACAATGCAAAATGCAGTTAGCACCTGAATATTATGCTATAAAAATTTTGATGAAAATACCTAAGGATGATATACGCCGTTAAACAGAATGTTGTCTCCTTTCTTCAGGACAAATATAAACGGGTGGTTTGCTTTGAATTCACTTGGCTGGGTAAAACTTGTTAAATATACTACAAATCCTGAAATTACAAGCAATTGGACTAAATTAATAAGTGGACTAAATTGAGAGAAATGTCATTAAAGTTTTGTACATAGTACTTTAATCAGTGTTATAATTCTGTACACTGATATTTATTGAGTTTCAAAAAAGAACATTGTATTTTTGCAAATTAAAATATCAAACTTGACACTACTCAAACGCTCTACTGCCTCCAGTAGTTAAATTGGCTTAAAGATCTTGCAATTGGGCCATAAACCTTCAATAAGAAAAAGGCAGTACATGGCCACTTTTATTCTATCTCTTTGGTTTTTGTTTTGTAGCGTTTTTTTAGCTTTCGTCTAATGGAACGTTTGCCTACCCAATTATATGGGTAAACATTTATTTTTAAAAAAATGGGTTTGTTGTCATGGGTTGAACAAAACATACATTAAATACTGGTTGAGTTTCGTTATTTTATTTACTCGAACCCTCATTATGCAACCATTGCATAGAATCTTAGAGCATATAGGACGGGATAGGGATGATTTGTTTGCCACAATTTAATGGCCCAAAAATTATCCATATTCAGCTTCTACTTGAAATAACAAAATGTATCATATTTATAGCTTTTAGTGAAAACTACTTGAACACAAGAGTGATGGAGTAGTCTTAATGTCAATATTAATTCATTTTACAGTATTATGTTGAATTTTATATGAATTCACTTCAAGTAATAAGAGTTGTGCAGATATGTAGGTAAAATAGCTGTGTCTCTCTGTTGGTAGTTATGACGTGCTGTAAGAAATGTATCGATGTTTTGAATTTCTGGATTCCAACTAGAAGTAAACTCGAAGATTTATAATCTCGAAAACCGATTTATAATAAAACCGTTATGCATTCAGGGGATTTTGGTTGTTTATTACAGAGAAAAGATTAACTTAGTTTGTTTTGTAATATTCCCAAAATACCTAAAAAAGTACATTTGGGATTACAAAAATTCGAGCAAACATTACTTCGGGCAAATGTATTTTCGGACTTCTGATTGATAACTTCAAACAGTAAAACGAATACAACAATATTTTGTTAGTTATTTATTACTAAGATTTAATAAAAAGTCATTTTAAAAATAAGATTAATAAATCAACTCTATAGTTTTTTTGTTCTAAATCTAAATATTTCAATCGCTTGAGCATATCTTGTGTAGGATAAGGACAATTAGCTATTTGGTTATTTTTATTGCTTTTGTAATTTATTTGTATTCTATGCATGTACTCGTATATGTACTTTTTATTTTTTCTTACAGTATGTCATGATTTATGATGATTTATATTAAACAATTACAATTTATTTTCATTATTTATAATTTATTACATTATTATTTAATATACAATATGACGGAAAAGTCAATTTGAATAAACTTCGTTACATAACCTGTCGATAAAAATAGGAGCTAATAAAGCGCGTCGCTTCTCTATAACGAAAAAAACAGCGTCCATGAAGTACTGCATTTTTTAATCTATAGTTGCCTGTTAGTAATTAGGGAACTTCATAGGCATGCTTATGTCAAATATTCGAATGTTTTCAAATATTTTTTTATGTATTCGTTGAATTGAATCAATGTGATCATTGTGAAAAAAATGTCATAAAATAGAAAATTTGCAATTAATGTAAAAAATAGGCTTATGTATGGATGTAATTCCACCCTTGGCTAGACTGGATGCAGCAAAGATTTTTTTGCAAGTTTGTATAGCGCAAGACGACATGTTTCGTGGAGTACTTGATGCGGTAAATTCGATATTGGAAATGAAAAAACATCGATTTGAAAGTAGTGTTCATTGTGCGATAGTTGTTTTGTGCTTGTACCTTGACAGAGGGGATTGCCTATCGATGATGCCTCCAGTCCTATATGCTCTAAGCATAGAATACTTTTCAGCTCAGTGGCGAGTACCAATAATAGAATTTTCATTCAGAAACAGAAAGGGTCTTTTAATAAACGGTTTATGAAATCATAATTGACAGATTAAAGTACAGGAGCAGAACAAGTAAATTACGACATTGCTACTCCAATATCTATGTTGTACAACAAAGAAAAAAATATATCTACATACATTTATTCATAACAATGATCTTGTTCTAAAAGTGATTGTCTAGCGTGATAATAGGAATGAACCTTAACAATGTTATATGTTAGTATTACGTTACGCTTCTGGACCTTTTGAACCTTCTCGTGTACATAAATGCATAGTGCAAATTAATTACGATAAATGAATAATTGTATCTAAAAGTTATTGAACCTTGATGAACAAAATCATATTAATTTAATGTGGGTGATGAGCGGTTAACCAGAATTTAATATCTTAAGTAAGTACTTTGATTATGGTTAATTTTAATCGTGTTCTGTATGGAACAGAAATATCATTGATGTTGTTGTAACTAACTTTCTGATATGTACTACATGTAACCGATGGAACACACATGATGCAAGACACATGCTTTACTTTAGAGTATTTATTTGTTTAAAGTACCTAATTCCCAAAAACTCCGCTAAATATTACATCCTTTTTGAGCTTTAGGACAAATACGAACGGGCGATCTGCTCGAAATTGTTGCTTGAAGAAGAAAACGAAACCACTTCGCCTTTCTACGAATATTGCTGTAATTTAAAAAGAAATTCTGTTGAGAAATTTTTGTTGTGGGAATGGCGACTAGTTTATTAATATCTAAAATAGAAGATGTTATTTCTTTTGCGCTCTGACGTCAGTGTTCATTGTTTATTTGGCCGATTCTTGCAAAGTATTCGCAATCGGACGAAAAATTTCGTTTTTATTTTTGTTAATACAAATTTGGTTATAATCTAGTCAATTTTATGCATATGGAACTACATACATAATTATTTTTTTTTATAATATCCCATTTTAATATCTCAATACTAAACGTATTTTTGTAGCAGTAATTACTAAAATATTGATAAAATATTTATTTTCATTTCACATACTTTTTTTTTATTTATAGTCTCATTTTATACATGTACTTTACTATATATTTTGTATGTATTCTATTAGTGTATCAACATTTACTTAAAATATGTAAGTATATGTATTCGTACGTATATTTGATATAATAAACCTATCCTTGTAATTATTGAGTATGTAGATTTCAATTTCATGATTTATTAACTTTTTTTGCCAATCCAGGAGCCAACTTTCCTATTCTTCTTATTCAAAGGATAGTTGGAAGAAATCCCGTTAACGTTTTAATTTTTTGTAAAAATTTGTAAATTGTTTTGTTGTACAATAAAGTGTTTACATACATACACATTTGTACAAGTAAATAAAGCTAACGTTAAATTTTCTTATCCTCTTATGTTACTTTCTACAACAAATCTAATAGAACAGTTGTTCGGCCTCGACGTCTGCTTCAAGGTAATTACATCTTATTTCAAATTACGCAATATTTTTTTTTTAATTCAAAATCAGTTCATATATCAGTAAAGCATAAAGATTCATTCTAGACTGGACAATGCCATAAAGAAAATGACATAATAACTATACTCATATGAACGCATACGGTGTAGTGTGAACTCCAAAGGCGTGTTAAAATGAACAAACCCGTTAAAAAGCGTGTTGAAATGGTATAGCAAGATATTATAAGTTCAATTGCCAGCTCGAGTATTTTAAAGCATATAAATATTTACGGTCAAAATTGGGAAACTATGACCCCGGTCAAAAATTTCCGTTTAAAAGTGGACGATTCCCGTAAAGAGAGTAAATTACGTTGTCTTTAGCAAAAAGCCAAACGGATGGTCTTCTTGAATGTCTTTGGTAAATTTGGAGGGAGAGACGCGACTCGAAAAATCCTGAAAAATTAATTTAGTTTTTTTCTCAATCGTCTGTGTTTTCATTAGACATTTACTAAACTAAGCAGGAACAATTTCTAATAAAAATAATAACTTTCGGCTATCAGTAGAGTGAAATAATTTCCCGCCTCTATGTAAAATGAAAATGAAATCCGTTCATTTTTTTTCACCATTATTTGTCGTTTTTATAAAACTGAATAAAAAATGTTAATTTATCTCATTAAGACATGGTTGTATAATTCATGCAATTTTGTTAACAGCAAATTTCCAAGCTATCACATACATTTATCATGCAAAAATGCTGTATTTTGATTATGTAACTACCTGAATAAAATAATTAGTTTATTAACGTTTATTAATTTTACTTTCTATTGACATTTAATTGTATAAGATCCCGTCAAAAAGAATATTGTTCCCTTTCATAAGAAAGAATACGAAAGGATGATTCGCAATAAAAGTGGCGGGACTGGTAGTGTACCCGCTATAACCGATTGCAAATTCTGAAAATAGAATAAAAACTGTGCCACGTAGTGAAAGATACGTAGTAGTTAACCTGTTTCACGAATTATAAGCTAACGGAATATTTATGCTAGGGAAAGAATTAAAACCTTATAGTCAATGATACACAAGGTGTTTTAAGCTATATAACCGCTAAAGCTTTTCGTATTTTAGTAATTTGAATACGTCATGAGTTTCGAAGTAAAAAACATAAAACTAAGTATTTCTACAGACTACGATATTGTCAAAAAATAATTGATCAAATTTCACTGCAAATTATTACACAATTTTTTTTTTAAATTATCAACAATCCCTTAAACTGGTTTTCATAACAATGGCCGGGCGCTGCCACTTCTTGATTGCAACGTTCCGGCAGCACTCTAAATGCGTGTTGTACCTCAAGTGACTCATTGAGCTTTCAAAAAGTATCTTGCAATACTATTGTAAAAACAGGCGAATAGAAAAGACTGTTAATGCATAATAACTGCAATACATCTCCAAGAAATATATGAAACGAAGAAAATACCCAATTAAAAAAATTACACGTTTGGAAATAATGGTAGATACGACCCCTACGACCATTTTCTGTTTCACTGTCAACTCAACGAATAAGTAACCAGTCTTCTACTACCAACGCTTCAACTTGTGCAGTAAAGCAATCCCAATTGATGTTTCAAGAACTTCAGGTAAGGTAGAGGCTATTCTAAAATACTATTTATTATGTCTGTCTTTAAGGACAATCAAAACTGGGGGATTCACTTTAAACTCTATAGACTGTAGAAATATAAAATCGTCCACTTTGAAATAATTTATATGCCATCATTTATAATAATTACCTACTCCATAAAAAATAAAAAAATAAAAAAAACACTATTTTACTACTTCATGATCATTATTTACAACGTATATTGCAATAAAGAAATAAACAATGAAGCCATAACAAGTGGTACAGCAATTCAAAAATAAAGGAAAAACTATTTAATGAATTGACGATACAGAAGGATTCCACAAAATTATCGCAACCTGAGATGAAATACACAAACCAAGACTTTCATGTACATTTATGTACTGTTTTTCCACTAATGTACAATTATAACAATATCAACAAAATACCTATTGCATATATTTTCCTGAAAGTAAAGTTGTACGTCCAATGTTTAAAGCATAACAAAACGGCTTATCTGCTATAAATCATGCTGTAAGGGGAGGAATCACTACTAATGCTGAACCTACTGTACCTTCAAATTCTGAAATGAAATACCGTAAACATACTTTTAATTTTTTACAAAAATCAGCACGTTACACTATACCAAATTTTTTATATAGGTGTACCCACTCACATTTAAAGATATATCGAAAATAAGATGACATTAATGTTAACGAAATAAATAAAAAATCGGAAACAAAAACAGATAGCCCCTAAAAATAAATTCGAATAAAAAAAAATTGGTTTTGTTACTTTCGGCACTAAATAACATGAAAATTTGCTAAATTTGCTAATCTTTTGACGATGACTGGTGGTTATGATGTAAACAGATCTACAGTAATATTTGATGTTCCATTAAGTATTGTTGATTTTTTTGTAAAATTGTTTAGACTATTGAATTATTTCCTATATAAACGGGATTACATTACTTAAATATACTTTAATATGTGTATCAAACTGAACAAGGATACAGCTTTCGTACTTACTACGTGAATATAGTTACGAGTATATACGACTGGTATTATAGAACAAAATGAATATTGCAGTATGTAGTATATATAGAATAGTAGTATTTTTTGTCTATTGCGCTGGTGTAACTTATGCAGGATGGTGCAAATGTTATAAGTACCTAATCACTTAGAATTTGATTTTTACATATCTATAATTCAGTGTTTGGTATAAATCCTCCAACGAAATTTGTGGGAATAAATATGAGATTGTGCAGTTTTCCGCAATTCATAATTGAATAGAGGAAGAAGTGTTAAAATAAATTGTGGAATAACATGATATTGACTTAAAAGGTACTTTTAGTGCATTAAACGTAAGTTCGGTAAATTTCATTCTCATTAACTTCAGGGATCCCTCAAAAAGATAATATGGTTTGTGACATGAAAACATAATTATTCTATATTGCACTTACCACCATATTTAATGTTATAAAAATACTAAACATGCCTTTTCTGTGCGACTGCGTAAATAAGGAAATTGATGTAATTGTATCGATAGTAGTTTAAAGGCTCGGTTTAGACTTCTCCGAACGGGCAAATTCATTTAAGACGATGCAACTGTCCATAGACTTAGGGTAGGTAGGTTCTCAGTTTAATTTAGTCTAGTCTAGTCTTAGGTGCTAGTCAAAGAGTAAGAGTAGAGGAACACAAATCTCGTGGCTTTACATGAAGACAAGAATTGTCTAATCTTAAAAGTTAGAAGATTGTCATATCCAAATAGAAAAAAGCTTACCGTTTGCAGCAGCTGCTTCAGCACCTTCTTCATTGACTTCAATGAATGCCTTTTGGATGGCTTTACTTACAAACAAATTTCCTTCGCCCTTTAACAAACGACTCAGTTGGGCTTGTTGAGGGTCGAAAACACGTTTCACATCCATCTGAAAATATTTAATTCATGAATTTAATTTAATTGTCACGTCATGTTCGTAATGCATTTATACTTTTCATTGGAAGACCAACATGTACTTTCTATTTAGATTATTTTTGACGAAAAGACGAAAACTGCCATTTATTTATTGCACATACAAGTACGTGCAGCTCATGTCTTTTGTTTAAATGTTTGTTTGTTATTGGTACTTAAGTTTGCTGCGTTCTTGTGTTATAAATGTAATT